CTGACCGTTTTTCTGATGTATGTTATTGACGAGAAATAATGGTAAATATCTTGGGTAAATAGTAGACTTTATACTTGTGTCCAATCTTCTTTTTTTTTAGTGAGTAAATTGTGTGTGAATCAATATCAGATCAGATGTTCGAATTCATTCATTCATTCATTCATTCATTCATTCATTCATTCATTCATTCATTCATTCATTCATTCATTCATTCATTCATTCATTCAATTCATTGAGCAAAATTTACATAAGTCTATCTGATCTTTTAGTGTTTTGAGTTCTGCCAGTGTCAATCTAATGAGCTTTCAGGTGAAATATGGGCGGTGGGGTAGCCTAGTGGTTAAAGCGTTGGCTCGTCACGCCGAAGACCTGGGTTCGATTCCCCACATGGGCACAATGTGTGAAGCCCATTTCTGGTGTCCCCCACCGTGATATTGCTGGAATATTGCTAAAAGCGGCGTAAAACTAAAATCAGTCAGTCAGGTGAAATATCCCTGCTTCTTATAACTGAGGATAAAGTATGTTAAAATATTTAGTTCCCTGGGCTGTGGCTTCTTAGCATTTAGAACAAATGAAGTTATAATGAATTATGATCAATTTTATTTAGTAGGTTTCAATGAGTCAGTAGAAATAGATTCATGTTTGATTTGTAGCCATTATATGGTGTGAAGCAAGGCGGCTGTGTGAGTGTGGAAGATGATGCCATTGATCATGTGACCATGTCTGTCTGCTGGTCAGTATGTTGTGGCTACAGCGTGAGCCGGAACCATGGCTGATGGGTCTGCCAGAAGCCTAATGACCAGTGGTCTTGCTTCAGTGACAGCTGTCCACACATGGCAGGGGAGACAGGACTCCAGACTGGACTGGCAATGGCCCATGAAGGGATGTCCTGGTCTTCTGATATATTCAATATGGTCAGAACTCCAGACAAGAGCTCTCAAGAATGTCATGTGATAGAAGGAAGATGGTCTTGTTTTGTGAACCATTCACTTGCAATTAGATCTAAGTCAGGAAAAAGTGCTAACAATTTATCAAAGCCATTGTGGGTAGTTTGAATGAATGTTACCAGAAGATGTCTGTCCCATCAGCCTGTCAGTGCAGTTTCTGCTCAGGGATTAGGGTTTCTGAGATTACACAGAGGCTGCCGTTTGGGTCTGCAAGCTGCAACAGATATGCCAAACTGAATTAAAATTTCCAAACTTATGTTTAATTAATATATCTATTTAAATGTTATTCTTTGTAGTGGGTTAATTAGACTGATAGCAGGTCCAGTAGAGACTAAGAAGCTTTAATGCTTCATCAGACATAATTGTTTTGAATAAATTGCAATATTAAAATCCCTATTAATGCTGAAGGGGTCGTTGTCGGCACAGGTACTACAGATATGTACCCCAGGTACGTTTCTGTATACAGACATGTACCCTAAACAAAGTCAAAATACAGAAACATACCCGGTACCCTAAACGACGGACGAGTCCATATTCCGCGAACCCAATACCGAAACCGTATGTAGTTAATCCCGTTCAGCTGATTGCGAGTGGTGTACGTTGTGCACCGTGAAATATTCGTTATACTGTGTATGCTCTTATATAATGCAATCAAATGCATCTAATACAATAGTATGACAGTTCCGATCAAGAAAACTCCACAATGCAGAATGGAATCGTCCTAGGGTACATTTCTGTATTCTGATTATGGCCAGGGTACATTTCTGTATACAGAAACGTACCTGGGGTACACATCTGTAGTACCCGTGCCGACAACGACCCTTTCAGCCCTATTAATTTATAAAATATCGATCTTTACAAAGAAATTATTTAGTTCCAAATCGACAAACAAGAGCACTTAGTTTGAAATGTTGGTTGAGCCCCTGGGAATAGGGTTGCAGATGAAGACTGGTGTTGGAAACAGAACCAGAAGCTCATTCCATGATACTTGTGTTTGTAGTATAATATTTGCATTGATTAGACACTTTGTCTCACATGGGCAAAATTGGACAATCAATTAAAGATAAGAAATATATATGATTTCACTATGAAACATTTGTTACAGGGTCACTGATATTACTTACAATATAGAAATTTTCCAAAACTTCCAAAATGTGAAATGGATAGCTTTTTTCATAACATATTTTCTTAAACAAACTGTTGAAGGCATCTGCTGATGTAATTCATATAAACTTGAACTGCCCGTGTTTCCTAACCGAAAATTGTCATTTATCATTGTTTTCTGTAGGCTTTTAGTGTATGTGCTGGATATATATTTTGTAAAAAATCTGTTAGGCATCATGAATATTTTGGGACATATTGTGTGAAATTGTTTGATTTATGTGATCTCTATTTTTTTGTCCAATATATATGGGCTCTCTTTTTTTTTTGAGTTCACACTAAAAGACAAATAAAATCATGATTCTTTAGTTGGACTGAGGTATATTTTTTATAGTTTTGAAAGAAGTACTGATTTTCTGCTTCTGTAACTACTTGAGAACTGACAATATGTTGGAGGTCTCGTAGTGAGTCAGAGATGAAGGTCTGTGAATTATTATGTCTTTATCTGTCTGTGGAAGGGGATTCACCCTTTTTTCACATCTTGGATATGGCCAATATCAATCATATCTTAGTTAGTCTGTATTTGGCCTGGAATGTGAAGTTGCAGCCTGCGTATGTACTATTATCTGCTCATTAAACTGATATGCACTGACGTAACTGAAATACTGTTCAAAGAAGAACCTTGAAAATTGGTTGGAAGATGATAAGTTGCCTTTAGCAGAACGAGAAGGTTCAGATTTCGTTGGATTTTTTCCACTTCTTTTTAGGTATATCGGAATATGTTATCAGACTTCGGAAAAAAGTCTTGCCAAAACATTTGTTGCAGTAGAGGTGTAATGTAAATAAAAACACACTGGTATGTGGGAGTTGTCTGATTGGCATGTGAAACTTTAACGCAAGACACATAACTTTTTATGATTAGCGTATTATTCCTGAAAAGGGGTGCACGGGTAAGTCGGCTGAAGCAACACAATTTGCCGTGAGATTTGTTCTTTGGGCATTCCAGAAACGTATGACACGGTTTGAATCCTGGTTCATCCCGATTAATTTTAAGGATTATCAGCACCATAGCCATGCTTGGGTTTTTCACAAAGTGGTACCTGTGAAGGTCCAGGTTAGAATGTACCTACAGTAACCCATGCTTGTCGTAAGAGGCGACTAACGGGATCCGGTGGTCAGGCTCGCTGACTTGGTTGACACATGTCATCGGTTCCCAATTGCGCAGATCGATGCTCACACTGTTGATCACTGGATTGTCTGGTCCAGACTTGATTATTTACAGACCGCTGCCATATAGCTTGAATATTGCTGAGTGCGGCGTAAAACTAAACTCACTTACAAAGTGGTGTTGCAGGCGACATTGTCAGCATGGGCACAACAAATACATATCTCACATACGTTTTTGTATGCAGAAACGTACCCTAGCGAAAATCAGAATACAGAAACACACCCTAGGACAAGTCCATTCTGCATTGTGGCATTTTCTTGATCGAAACTGTCATACTGTTATATTAAATGTGTTAAATACTTATGAGTATTTCTCAGTGCAAAACATCACTAGCAATCAGTTGAACAGGAACAACTACATCCATTTGCTATTTGGGGTTGAGGAATATGGACTCACCCCCCGTTTAGCGTACCGGGTACGTTTCTGTCTTTTGACTTTGTTTAGGGTACATTTCTGTATCCAGAAACATACCTGGGGTGCATATCTGTAGTACCCGTGACAACTACGACCCCTTCAGCCAAAGTGGTGAATGTCTGAGATGTGCATCACTTTGGGCTTTCATCTCATGTAGCTGACAAATTGTGATATAGTAGGAATACTGTTTAAAGATGTAGAACCAAACTGACTCTGAAACCTATTCCTCAAGACGTATGTATAACACTCAGTGTTACTAGATCAATCTGTTAGGCCAAGGAGTAACCTACAACTACATCCAGAATGAATAGGAGACGGTATCATCAGAAAAATTTCATGGTGTAAGGGAGATAACTCTTCACCTGTTTTAATCCTGTGAGACCCAAAAAACAGTGACAAGTTAGTTAATGATATTTACATTATATAGATATAATGTAGAAGAATTTTGGGGATACACTGTTTGTGTATTAATTAATATGCAAATCCGAGGGTGGAGATTTATGGATATGTTTACACAGGAGGATAATGAATGACAATTTCTGCATGGAGTGACGTTGTTGTCTGCATGTCATCTGACCGGAATGGTACAGCTAAGAATATGAACTAATAGTTGTCAGGCATGGATATTGCACAGACAGCCAGAAGATATGGTGTAAAAGCAGTGTTTAAAACTCCCAAAACTCCAAGCCAGACAGCCGGACTGGTAACTTTAAAAATTACCAGTCCGGATACAAATTTGCCTGTCCGGTTTTCAACAAAGGAAAAAAATAAAGAAAAAATATCAGGTTTCTGAATACTTTACTGTTTGTAGGCATGGCAATGAACAATATAGCACTACCAGGCAATGCACCGAGTTTAGGTAAACTGAAAGTACACGTGTTGTGATTGGTTATTGTAAAATGAACTTCCAATCGTAAATAGTTTAACATAATTATCATAATACCTAAAACACCTCAAACTGACGACAAGAGAACCTGTCTGATATTATGAAATATTTACTGTTGGGGAAAAAACATCTACCAGACAACCGGACAGGCTACTTTTGAAATTTGACCGTCCGAGATGAAAATAGACTGTTCGGGCAGGTGGGAATTTTAAACGCTGGTAAAAGATATACTTTCAGATGACTGAGCATATGATTGGACTATGTACATGAACTTGGTTCCTTGTTGTGTCCGTCTTGCATGATGTCACGATGAAAGTAATATTTGATTTACAGGTTACTGGAGGTAGATCAACATTAAGTTGTTATGTCTGCATCATCAGAATCATTTAGTGTCCTGAATTAAATAGTTGTTGTTGTGTAACAGTGCGATGCGGATCCTGCTGTCGAAGTTGCCGCGGCCATGGATTGTTGATGAAAAGAAAGATGACGGCTATACCGCTCTCCACCTGGCCGCACTCAACAACCACGTGGAAGTGGCCGAACTCCTTGTCCACCAGGTAATGCCCGGACCTTCAGTGGACCTTCAGTGGACCTTCAATGGGCCATCATAGACAAGTGCTTGGTCTCTAAATGCATAGAATTTTCTATTGAAAAGGAGCCCCAGTGGGATGGGAGATTCACTTTCTTCATTCAGGGCTTTAGCATTGCTGAAAGTGCTGGCAGAAGGGAAATTAATGTGGTTCAGGGACAATGAGACAGTCTAGGACCATCAGTGGACCATCTAGGACCATCATTTAGTCACAGTGTTCAGTCTAGCTGCCAGAAATATAGGGTCCTACAGGTGCCCTGGTGACCAAAATATGTTGATAATGTTTTCTGAGAGCAAGTAACTTTTCTTGCACTTGAAGGTTAGTTTTAGGTGTGTCATGAATTGTTTCATGATTGCTCAATGATTTTCATGATTGTGTCATGACTGTACAATGATTGTACAATGATTGTACAATGACTAAAATTGTAGGCATCTAAACTGCACAGACACCTCATCAGGATTGTATGATGACCGTACAGTGATTGTGCCTTGACTGTACACAGAGATTGTGTATTGATTGTATAATGATTGGGCCATGACTGTACAATAAGTTTGTTAAGATTAATTAACTGATTCTGGTTTTTTATAGATGTGATTAACACGTGATGATGCAATGATCGTGTGTCTCGTTCCAGGGTAAAGCCAACATGGACATCCAGAACGTCAACTTGCAGACCCCGCTACATCTCGCTGTGGAGCGGCAACACACGCAGATAGTCAGGGTAAGCGATGCTGCTGATGATGATACTGCAGAGACAGGAAGCCTTGATTCTGTTCCAGCCCTGTTTACAACATTGCATCATGAGCCATTTATTATCCATCCACATTTTGACATACCTGAAATTCGACTTACCCTTTGCCTGGAATAGAAATTCTTTGAAGTTATTTTTCCGGGTCCTTTTTGACTGAATCACTAGTAGATTTGAGCAAAACGTGTACATAACTGATTGCTATTTCCGGCTTAGTAGCGGTGGGGTAGCCTAATGGTTAAAGCATTGGCTCGTCACGCCGAAGGCCAGGGTTCGAATCCCCACATGGGTACAATGTGTGAAGCCCATTACTGGTGTCCCCCGCCGTGATGTTGCTGGAATATTGCTAAAAGCGGCGTAAAACCAAACTCAGTCAGTCAGTCAGTCCGGCTTAGTTGAATAACAGGTAGTATAGCAGGGACGGCAATTGAATTATCATGTCTAGTGATGTTTGATTGCAAGTTCAGGGATGACTGTATCTTATGGCAAGCATGAATGGCACTTGGAGGCTGCAGGTACGAATGGCAGACTGGGTTTGGAAATTCAACAGCTCATTCAATGATGCTTTTATGTTTGCTTCAAATATCATGTTCACATTGATTTGACTTCAACACAGAAAATAGAAAATTATAAACTGTTAAAAAGATAGGCAAAGCGGTACATTGTGAACTGATGGACCAAAGGCTTTCTGGCTTGACATGTTGTACCTGTTAATATTCGTAACTGTTGTAAAACACTTTAGGAGAATTCGTTGTGAGAAAGATGTTGTGCATCCAAGTGGGAATAGAACATGGGTGTGATGCCTACCTACTGGGCCACCATGCCTGTTGTAGTGAAGCATGGATAGTTCGTACATATATTGATGAGTATTTTCTTGCCTCAGCTCCTGGTGCGTGAAGGCTGTAACCTGAATGTGCCCGACAAGGATGGTGACACGCCACTCCACGAGGCACTCCGCCACCACACTCTGTCCCAGCTCCGCCAACTCCAGGACATGCAGGATGTGGGCAAGGTAAGCAGTATCCCGGGGATGGTAAGCTGTGTTTGGGGGATGGTAAGCAGGGTCCGGGATGATGGTAAGCAGTGCCTGGGGGGATGGTAGGCAGTGTCTGGGGGATGGTAAGCAGTGTCTAGTGGATGGTAAGCAGTGTTTGGGGGATGGTAAGCAGTGCCCGGGTGGATGATAGGCAGTGTCGGGTGGATGGTAAGCAGTGTCTGGGGGATGGTAAGCAGTGTCCCGGGAATGGTAAGCTTGGGGGATGGTACGCAGTGTCCTGGGAATATTAAGCTGTGTTTGGGGGATGGTAAGCACGGTCCGGAGGGATGGAAAGCAGGGTCAGGAGGATGGTAAGCAGGGTTCTGGGGATTGTAAGCTGTGTTTGGGGGATGGTAAGCAGTGTCTGGGGGATGGTAAGCAGTGTCTGGGGGATGGTAAGCAGTGTACCGGGAATGGTAAGCTGGGTTTGGGGATGTTAAGCAGGGTCCAGGGGGATGGTAAGCAATTTCCGGGGGAAGGTACGCAGTGTCCCGGAATATTAAGCTGTGTTTGGGGGATCGTAAGCACGGTCCGGAGGGATGGAAAGCAGGGTCAGGAGGATGGTAAGCAGGGTTCTGGGGATTGTAAGCTGTGTTTGGGTGATGGTAAGCAGTGTCTGGTGGATGGTAAGCAGTGAACCGGGAATGGTAAGCTGTGTTTGGGGGATGGTAAGCAGGGTCTGTGGGGGATGGTACGCAGTGTCCCGGGAATATTAAGCTGTGTTTGGGGGATGGTAAGCAGGGTCCGGGGGGATGTAAGCAGGGTCAGCAGGATGGAAAGCAGGGTAAGGAGGATGGAAAGCAGGGTCCTAGGGATTGTAAGCTGTGTTTGGGTGATGGTAAGCAGTGTTTGGGGGATGGTAAGCTGTGATTGGGTGATGGTAAGCAGTGTCCGGGGGATGGTAAGCTGTGATTGGGGATGGTAAGCAGTGTCCGGGATGGTAAGCTGTGTCCGGGATGGTAAGCAGTGTCGGGGATGGTAAGCTGTGTTTGGGTGATGGTAAGCAGTGTCGGGGATGGTAAGCTGTGATTGGGGGATGGTAAGCAGTGTCTGGGGATGGTAAGCTGTGATTGGGGATGGTAAGCAGTGTCTGGGGGATGGTAAGCTGTGATTGGGGGATGGTAAGCATTGGGGATGGTAAGCAGTGTCCGGGGGATGGTAAGCTGTGATTGGGGGATGGTAAGCAGTGATTGGGGGATGGTAAGCAGTGTCCTGGGGGGATGGTAAGCTGTGATTGGGGGATGGTAAGCAGTGTCCTGGGGGATGGTAAGCTGTGATTGGGGATGGTAAGCATGTCAGGGGATGGTAAGCTGTGAAGGTAAGCAGTCTGTGATTAGGGGATGGTGTAAGCAGTGTCTGGGGGATGGTAAGCTGTGTGGGGGATGGTAAGCTCTTTCCTGATCATGGTATGCTGTGTCATATAGGATGGTAAGCTGTGTCTTTTGGGTGGTAGGCAGTGTCACAGGAGAATGAATCAGTCTCAGGGAAAGTAAACCATGTCAAGGGAAAGTAAATAGTTTCATGGGAAGATAAACAATGTTCCATGGGAAAGAAAGCAGTGTTTGGACAAGATAAACTGTCCACCTCAAAGTCTTTCTTGCTCTTCTTTAAATGATGTACTGTACATGAATCATGTCTGTGGTGTTTTCTATGCCAGCTGCTGATGGGACTCGGGACACCAGGTGCTGACAAGAAGTCCAGCGCCTCCATCGCCTGCTTCCTGGCCGCCAACGGGGCCGATCTGAACATCAAGAACAAGAAGGGCCAGACCCCGCTTGACCTGTGTCCAGATCCCAATCTGTGCAAGGCACTGGCCAAGTGTCACAAAGAGAGGAATAGGTAACAGCAGATAGTTTGATGTCACTAGATAGACGTGTATTTACAGTCACCATATGGACATATCTGTACAGTGTCTCAATATGGACGTATCTGTACAGTGTCTCAATATGGACGTATCAGTACAATGTCACCATATGGACGTATCTGTACAGCGTCACCATATGGACATATCTGTACAGTGTCACCATATGGACATATCTGTACAGTGTCATCATCTAGATGTATCTGTACAGTGTCACCATATGGACATCTGTACATTGTCACCATTTGGACGTATCTGTACAGTGTCACCATATGGACGTATCTGTACAGTGTCACCATATGGACATATCTGTACATTGTCATCATATGGACATATCTGTAGTGTCATATGGACATATCTGTACAGTGTCACCATATGGACGTATCTGTACAGTGTCATCATATGACATATCTGTACAGTGTCACCATATGGACGTATCTGTACAGTGTCTCAATATGGACGTATCAGTACAATGTCACCATATGGACGTATCTGTACAGTGTCACCATATGGACATATCTGTACAGTGTCACCATATGGACATATCTGTACAGTGTCATCATCTAGATGTATCTGTACAGTGTCACCATATGGACATCTGTACATTGTCACCATTTGGACGTATCTGTACAGTGTCACCATATGGACGTATCTGTACAGTGTCACCATATGGACATATCTGTACATTGTCATCATATGGACATATCTGTAGGGTCATATCTGTACAGTGTCACCATATGGACGTATCTGTACAGTGTCACCATATGGACATATCTGTACAGTGTCATCATATGACATATCTGTACAGTGTCACCATATGGACGTATCTGTACAGTTTTACCATATGGACATATCTGTACAGTGTCATCATATGGACATATCTGTACAGTGTCACCATATGGATGTATCTGTACAGTGTCACCATATGGACATATCTGTACAGTGTCATATGGACATATCTGTACAGTGTCACCATATGGATGTATCTGTACAGTGTCACCATATGGACATATCTGTAGTGTCATATGGACATATCTGTACAGTGTCATCATATAGACGTATCTGTACAGTGTCACCATATGGATGTATCTGTACAGTGTCACCATATGGACGTATCTGTACAGTGTCATCTGTACTGTTTGTACAGTTGTCACTAGATAGACCTGTCTGTACAGTTGTCACAAGATGGACCTGTCTGTACAGTTGTCACAAGATGGACCTGTCTGTACAGTTGTCACTAGATAGACCTGTCTGTACAGTTGTCACAAGATAGACCTGTCTGTACAGTTGTCACAAGATAGACCTGTCTGTACAGTTGTCACTAGATAGACCTGTCTGTACAGTTGTCACTAGATAGACCTGTCTGTACAGTTGTCACAAGATAGACCTGTCTGTACAGTTGTCACTAGATAGACCTGTCTGTACAGTTGTCACCAAGACAGACCCTGTCTGTACAGACCTGTCTGTACAGTTGTCACTAGATAGACCTGTCTGTACAGTTGTCACTAGATAGACCTGTCTGTACAGTTGTCACTAGATAGACCTGTCTGTACAGTTGTCACAAGATAGACCTGTCTGTACTGTACAGTTGTCACTAGATAGACCTGTCTGTACAGTTGTCACTAGATAGACCTGTCTGTACAGTTGTCACTAGATAGACCTGTCTGAATAGTTGTCACTAGACCTGTCTGTACAGTTGTCACAGTAGATAGACCTGTCTGTACAGTTGTCACTAGAGACAGACCTGTCTGTACAGTTGTCACTAGATAGACCTGTCTGTACAGTTGTCACTAGATAGACCTGTCTGTACAGTTGCCACTAGATAGACCTGTCTGTACAGTTGTCACTAGATAGACCTGTCTGTACAGTTGTCCTGTCTGTACAGTTGTCACTAGATAGACCTGTCTGTACAGTTGTCACAGTTGTCAGATAGACCTGTCTGTACAGTTGTACAGTTGTCAGACCTGTCTGTACAGTTGTCACTAGATAGACCTGTCTGTACAGTTGTCACTAGATAGACCTGTCTGTACAGTTGTCACTAGATAGACCTGTCTGTACAGTTGTCACTAGATAGACCTGTCTGTACAGTTGTCACTAGATAGACCTGTCTGTACAGTTGTCACTAGATAGACCTGTCTGTACAGTTGTCACAAGATAGACCTGTCTGTACAGTTGTCACAAGATAGACCTGTCTGTACAGTTGTCACTAGATAGACCTGTCTGTACAGTTGTCACAAGATAGACCTGTCTGTACAGTTGTCACTAGATAGACCTGTCTGTACAGTTGTCACAAGATAGACCTGTCTGTACAGTTGTCACTAGATAGACCTGTCTGTACAGTTGTCACTAGATAGACCTGTCTGTACAGTTGTCACTAGATAGACCTGTCTGTACAGTTGTCACTAGATAGACCTGTCTGTACAGTTGTCACTAGATAGACCTGTCTGTACAGTTGTCACTAGATAGACCTGTCTGTACAGTTGTCACTTAGACCTGTCACTAGATAGACCTGTCTGTACAGTTGTCACTAGATAGACCTGTCTGTACAGTTGTCACTAGATAGACCTGTCTGTACAGTTGTCACAAGATAGACCTGTCTGTACAGTTGTCACAAGATAGACCTGTCTGTACAGTTGTCAGATAGACCTGTCTGTACAGTTGTCACTAGATAGACCTGTCTGTACAGTTGTCACCTAGATAGACCTGTCTGTACAGTTGTCACAAGATAGACCTGTCTGTACAGATTGTACAGTTGTCACTAGATAGACCTGTCTGTACAGTTGTCACTAGATAGACCTGTCTGTACAGTTGTCAGTTGTAGATAGACCTGTCTGTACAGTTGTCACTAGATAGACCTGTCTGTACAGTTGTCACTAGATAGACCTGTCTGTACAGTTGTCACAGATAGACCTGTCTGTACCTCACTAGATAGACCTGTCCTGTACAGTCTGTACAGTTGTCACAAGATAGACCTGTCTGTACAGTTGTCACTAGATAGACCTGTCTGTACAGTTGTCACTAGATAGACCTGTCTGTACAGTTGTCACTAGATAGACCTGTCTGTACAGTTGTCACTAGATAGACCTGTCTGTACAGTTGCCAGTAGATAGACCTGTCTGTACAGTTGTCACTAGATAGACCTGTCTGTACAGTTGTCACTAGATAGACCTGTCTGTACAGTTGTCACAAGATAGACCTGTCTGTACAGTTGTCATTAGTTGATGGATATTTACCCCTTCGTGTTGCAGCCTGACATATCTGCTGACCAGCCCGACAGTCCCAGCATCCAATGCTGCTGTCATCCGCAACGACCAGGAGTCTCTAGAGGAGTGCATGGTATGCTCGGACATGAAGCGGGACACGCTTTTCGGACCCTGCGGACACATCGCGACCTGCTCTCTCTGCTCTCCTCGGGTTAAGAAATGCCTTATGTGTAAAGACCATGTCCAGTCTCGCACCAAGGTAGGTTCAAAGATTTGTTATGGAGCTGCATGACAATATCAATATTGTTTGGACATCAGTCAGATCCTGATTAACCAGGCAGTAATGATGATAACTTCATAAACTTATTAAAAACAACTTTGTGTTTGCGTGAATGGTGAGTAAATGGTTTGTCTTGTTTCGTAAAAATTTACACCTGTATCCCATGCGAATGCTGCATATCTTCTGACTGAGCGGTTCCCTGTATGCTTAGCCTTGACTGTAACAGGGATTCAGAAATAAAATTTAAATTACAAAAAAACTTTATAAACTTAATGGAGATTTTAAACATGACTATGTAAAGTTGTATGTTGTTTGTTTCAGATCGAGGAGTGTGTGGTTTGCTCAGACAAGAAGGCTTCCATCATGTTCAAGCCGTGTGGCCACATGTGTGCCTGTGATGGTAAGTGATGGCCTCTCACATCCATAGCTTAGTGTGGTTAAGGCAGGTACACTGATTGTATAAGCCATGTGGTTCAAACATGGAACATTACTGAGATGGTTTCTTTTGATTCACTGAGTGAGTGAGTGAGTGAGTATGGTTCTATGCCATATTTTGCAATACTCAGGCAATACGACAGTGGGGGACAGTAGAAATGTACCCAAGAAGGGAACTGAATCCAGGACTTTGATGTGACAAGTGATTGCATTAACCACTAGGCTACCCCATTGCCCCACTAGTTTCAGGTGTGGTAATTTGTTGATGGTTCACTACCGCCATACCTGTCCAGAGAGCTCTCTACTTACAAGGCTCCACGAACACTCCGCTCTTCCAGTGAGAAACTGTTCAAAATCCCAAAGTACAACTTAAAGTCAGCAGGACAGCGCTCTTTCAAATACAGTGCGCCCTCAGTTTGGAATGCTCTCCCAAATGAACTCCACAATTCCCCTTCTCTAAGTTCATTCAAGACCGGTTTAAAAACATTCTTATTTAAACAAGCTTTCCTTTAATGTGTCCTTTCCGTCCAATTTTTGTGAAAGAAATTATTATTAAGTTTTCACATAGTTCAGACAGAGTACTCTGTGTGATAGTAGGTCTTCCTTCAGAAATGGTACATTGCTGAGATAAAGCCCATTTTGTTCAAACATAACTGAGGCGGTGGGGTAGCCTAGTGGTTAAAGCGTTGTCTCGTCTCGCCGAAGACCCGGGTTCGAATCCCCGCATGGGTACAATGTGTGAAGCCCATTTCTGGTGTCCCCCGCCGTGATGTTGCTGGAATATTGCTAAGAGCGGCGTAAAACCAAACTCAGTCAGTCAGTCAAACATAACTTTGAACATTGTTCAAACATGATACAGTGCAGTGATATTTCACTTGGTTCAGACATAGCTGTTATTGCTCGGTTGTATGAACCAGGCAAGTCAGATTGTGTGAATGTGACAAATATATATCTGTTGTCCAGGTTGTGCTGCACTCATGAAGAAGTGTGTCCAGTGTCGTGCCTCCATTGAGAAGACAATCCCATTCATCGTGTGCTGTGGAGGAACCCGTAAGTTACCGCACATTTTCTTGGGGCCTCTCAAGTGAACACTGTTAATATGTTATGAAAGTACTTACTTTAAAACTTACAACATACAGAAAAAGGCTCAAAACTCACAAAATTAATTACTTTGGATAGATAACTCATTTCAGATTGGTCAGTTTTTAACCAGTCTTTTTCAAATAAAAAGGTAGAAAAATGTTGGTTTCCTGATTTGAAATGGCCTAGCTGAGTGTTTTGATTGAACCTCACATACAGTGGCCTAAATCATTGCTCCTACTATCAACCCCTGGATTAGATGAACATTACTGAGTGTTTCATTGAAGGATAAGCAAACATGTACAATTAATGACTTCATCTCTGACTGATAGCAACATAATGGTCAAATGTGATGAAATGACAAATCCTCTTGAACGATGAAAAGAATGGAAGAATCTAAACCAAGTTCCCATTCAGCTTTAAGCTAAAAATACACTGTGAGAATACAGTATTTTCACCATATCCGTGCCCTGTGGGTAATACTGTATACTTTCCTTGCAGCGCCCCCTGCCCCCCAGGCCCCTGGTGTGATGAACAACGGCTCCAGGGACGTCTCCCGTGACATCCAGAAGCTGCAACAGCAACTGCAGGACATCAAAGATCAGGTGAGAGTTATCTTTCCTTCCTATCAAACCTATGAACATGGGTTTGAATCCCAATCCGTCTGAATCGTTTCCAGGATTGTCGGCACCAGGTCAATGCTGATTAGTTGCACAAAGTGAAGAATCTTCTGTGACCACGTCAAGTTCACAAGCTCCAATACAGCTGGTATACTGTTCATTGCACAGGGATGAGAATTTCCTGTGGATCTGCGAAATTCCGTGGATTTATCGCACTGGAGTCATTCTTGTGAATCGTCTAAATCTGAGGAGGCTAATTTTCCTCTTTTTTTCACTCGTACCCATTCTCATCCCTGATAGCAGTATTTATTAGCCCTCTCACTCACTGAACCTGAAAGGGTTTTTGTCGGCACTGGTACTACAGATATGTACCCCAGTTACAGTTCGTTATACAGAAACCTACTCTAGCCCAAAGGAGAATTCAGAAACGTACCCTAGGATGAGTCCAATCCTCGTTTTCTTCCTCGGAACTATCATACTATTGTATGAGATGCATTTCATTGTGTTATATGAGAAATGAGTAAGTGAGTGAGTGAGTTCAGTTTTACGCCGCACTCAGCAATATTCCAGCTATATGGCTGCGGTCTGTAAATAATCGAGTCTGGACCAGACAATCCAGTGATCAACAGCATGAGCATCGATCTGCGCACATGGGAACCGATGTCATGTGTCAACCAAGCCAGCGAGCCTGACCACCCAATCCCGTACGTCGCCTCTTACGACAAGCATGGGTTACTGAAGGTTCATTCTAACCCAGACCTTCACGGGTTATATAAGAAATGAGCATACACAATGACAAATATTTCGCGATGCACTTTATCGCTCTAAATCAAGAGAACGAGAACAATGACTACTGTCTTTGTTTTTGTGTTGAGGAACAAACGTTTAGGGTACCAGTCACGTTTATGTATTTTGATTTTGTTTAGGCTACATTTCTGTATACAGAAACATAGGTACATATCTGTAGTACCTGTGCTGACAATCACCCCGTCAGCTTCATTTACTCATCAAGGAGGTAAAAGTTTAAGGCCTGCATCAAATCCTCTTCCATCATGCTGACAACATGTAATATAAAATGAAAAACAACATTAAAAACTCACTCCCTCCTTCCCTCCCTCACTCGACCGCCTCCATGGTGTAGTGGTTAGAGCATCCGCCCTGAGACCGGAAGGTCACGGTTAAAATATGGTATTTGTTAGTCCCTGCCTGGCGCTCGACATTAATGGGTACAAGGACTGGTCGGCTTGGAGTCGGTATAATGTGTCTGAGTGGGGTATTCATGCTTAACTGCGGCATGGTATCTCAGTGAGCTAGCACCATAAAACCAACTTAAATCTGGGCTAGTACAAGCAGCCACACACACATACACACGCATGCATATCATCATATGAGCGAAATATTCTTAAGTGCGACGTTTAACCCCATCCTTCTTCACTCACTCACTCTGTTTTGTTCTTGCTTTTCAGACATGCTGTCCTGTATGCATGGATCGGCTCAAAAACATGATCTTCCTTTGTGGCCACGGCACGTGTCAGCTGTGTGGTGACCGCATGAACGAATGTCCAATCTGCCGCAAGTCTGTGGAGAAACGCATCCTGCTCTACTAAGCTTTGACTTAGCCTGTGTGCCAACATGTCTAGATAACACATAACCCAATATCATCCGGTATATTCATGCCTCTATATAGCCTGACATGACACTGCCGTGTGTTACAGCCGTTATAAATCTGAGGGAGGTAATATGACACGATCCTGTTTTATAACCATTATGTACTACTTGTAGACAAGAGGCAGGGAATATGTCAGTCATGTGTTATAACAGTTATAAACTGCTTGTAAGGGAAGGAATATGGTACCAACATGTGCTATAACCACTTGTAGTGAAGAGGAAGTAAGATATGACACAATCATGTTATACCCATTTGTATAACCGTTATAAAGTATTTGTAGTGAAGAGAGGGGCACTGTTATATACTACCTGTAATGAAGTGAGAGGAATATGATGCTGGCATGTTATAACCATTATAACAACTAGAGATTGAATGAATGTGGCATGGATGTTATAACGGTTATAAAAATTGTAGAGAACAGGTAGGAATATCATCAGCATTTGCTACAACTGTTATAAAATATTTGCAGAAAGAGGAAGGAATATGACATTGGCATGTGTTATAACTGTTATAACCGATTTGTAAAATGTAAGGAAGATATGACGTGTGTGGGAGACCTTACACTGGCATATGCTATAACTGTTTTAACCCTCCCACATGTTATGTCACACCCAAAATACACCTTCATCTACATCAGCATTAACACAAAGATGGGGAAATAGATTGGTAGTGGCGTATCATATACAACTCAAGATGGTTTAAGGAACGACTGACTATTAACATGAAGGAATTCAGTATGCTTAACTTCTTTTTTCAAGACAGACAAACTAACAGTGATATGAACAAATTTGATGTCGTTTACTTCTTGTGGCATGACTGATAAACGAAGAGTGATACGAGATAATCAGATGACCCTTCACTTCACTTGAGTAGTACATTAATGGTTGCGCCGTCGTTTTCATAAGTGTACCGGTAAATGTAACAGTTATCATTACGAAAGGTTTCTGGATGATATAGGTTCCAGTCTATCATTTGAATTTATGTGCATCATTTTAGAGATCTTTTGCATCCACAGTGTAAAGTTAGACTTAAAGATTGATTTGAATGTCTGTGGAACAATTTTAGAGATCTTCTGTATCAACTGTGTTAAGCTAAAACTTAAGGACAGGAATACGCTAGGAAGTGAACAGTGACAGTATAAATGAGGCACACTTGGGTCCTGATCTGTTAAGTATTTTAAACCTTCCATACTTTACCAAAACATGCAAGCACTTCTAATGATAACACATTTGGGGGAAACTTGCGTTGGTTCAAAAGGTGACCTTGACCTGTCATATCCCCTAGCTCATTAACAAAATATATGCAAGCCCCTTAGCACCTTAATAAGTATAGTTATCTCCCTTAGATCAGCGGTGAAGGGCTGGGGACATACAGCTCCCAAGAGTTGTTTCCATTTACCTGCAAATCAAGCCTTAAGTAGGTTATGCTGTCAAATTAGTTTCAAATAAGGTAGTTTTATTGTCAACATTATTGTTACACCAATCACAGGTCTCTGCTCCTGTGTGTTAGGGAAGCTGTTGGGAAGCCTAGTGGTTAAAGTATTTGCTTGTCACGCCGAAAACCCAGGTTCGATTTCCCACATTTGTACAATATGGGAAGCACCATGATATGGCTGGAATATTACTAAAAGCGGCGTAAAACTAAACTCACTCACTCAATCCTAAGTATGATGGAACTAAGACTGTTCTACTCTAAGATCACTTTGTGGAACAGTCCCTTGTGTTCTAATTTATACAGTTAAAGAATGTAATATGTCCTGTCCAAGTTTAAAAAGCAGAATTGGCCAAAGAATCTCAACTATTTTATACCTGAGTGTTGTCCATAGATAAAGCAAATAATCTCCACACAATCTTGTCCTCCAGTTGTGAGTGAATGGATCCTTTGGACCAAACATTCAGGTCCAAAGTTTGGTACTGAGATCATTGTACAGAAGTTCCACATAATTCTTTATCATCTTCAGATTTTGTGTAGCTGTCCATGTTTGTTTTGAGAAGAAAATACCAATGGCCACCAGAGGGAAGTCTTGGCCATTTTCTATAAATGATCTTCTCAGCTAAAGATGCTCATGTTTATTCCAAGCAGAATTTACATACAGCAACCAGACAGCCATCTTGGCAATTTTTTGTGTTTTTTTCCCCCAAAAGATGTTCATTGGTTTCAAGCAGATATTTTATATGGCCACCAGGGGGTGATTTTCTTAAAATGTGATAGTCTGTGGTGCTTAAATTTTCTAAGGGTGTCTTATTACAGCACTGCCTGAAAGTCAAATTGTCAGCCAAGCATTACTGTATGCAGTATTTGGAAAACAAATATGGCTGCTGTCAGCCATCTTGTTAAAAATAATACAGCTCTGAGCTCACCTCAGATTGGAAATATTCTTGATGAGACATACAGTGATTTCGTCTCTCTTGTGCAAATACAGGGAGGACAAAAAGGATATTGTCCAACAGATAGAAATTAGGGAATGTTTATGGTCAGGATGACTGTATTGGGGGTATAGTAATTCATTATGTCCATTAGATTGATGTTGATGAGATGGTCTTACTTGAGAGGCTGAAAGTCTTGTGAAAAGAAATCAGTCTGAATCTGGCGGTGCAGTATTTAATGGTAAAACACCGGTAGGTCAAATTCAGACAACTGAGAATCGTGACTTCCTGCATTGATCAAGTGATGCGATGAAGAGCGTTTTTGCAAACAAAAGATGCATGGAAATGTTGCTCTAAATATGACACTTAAAGCATTAAGCTCCCAGTTTGAAATAAATCATCAGAAAATATAAAAATGACATGCCAGCTTGAATCTGATCAAGAACTATTTTCCACTCGAAGAACAGTTTGCTACATTTCATATCATATGTCCTGATGACTTAAGACTGTCACCTTTTGCTCCGTCAGTTGCCATGACAACAGCAGGGGAGACAAACAGCAGAAGCCTTATGTACATTGTTCTAGAGTTACTTTGCCAAGTCTATTTATTTAAGCTGTGTTTATGATGTAATGCTGTTATTGCTAGCTACCTGCTTAATGTGATATAATTTATATTTTGAGATTTTTATGGACTTAAGATTTAATCCAATGATAGCGAAAGTTTGGGAATTTCTGTCATTGTCATGTTGTCAGCTTTCAGATGTGAAATTTGAGAAAGAAAGTCACTAAAAGGGGTTTTGTTGGAACATGGTGCCGATAGCATAATTGTACACATACCACTGAAGACATTTTTGTCAGCTTACACATGAAACTTAGGACAAAAAATCACATACAGGATTTAGATTGTTGGAACACTGTGCTATTGTTATAAATGCACACATCCTGAAATGGGAGACTCATCAAGATCTGTTTTAAATGACTGATCATTTACGTTCCACAAATTAACATTTCAAAATCTTTGCTGCTTCTTGTCAAGGATTCATGTGGGTTGTTTCCCCTTACCTTGGTAATACCAAAACTGTCTATTTTCACTATATAAACGAGCCCATTGTACATTTTGTAAATGAGAAAAGAAATAGTCAATGCTAATTTACGCAGTCAGTTATTTCAAGGATGTTTGTACAGTTTTTTGGGTGGGTGGCTGTTTCATGAGTTGTCTTTTTATGGAGGGGAGGATGGGAGATTGGAATTTCACATCAGTCCTGTAGCAAGTTGTCTGGACCAAGATATTTTTAGGAACTGCATTCAGTATGTCTTAAGTCTGTTGAAAAGTTTGGTTTGAGAAATGACAGCAAGAAGTATATCATAGTTGATAGTGCTAAGAATATCCAGTGGCGTGACCAACCATTTTTGTAGTCAATGTCTGTTTATTTTTTTACTTGTCCTTTCGTGGTATATTTGTATGTCTGATGGTAGGTTGAACCAAAATTCAGAAATGTTATTTCCTCGCTGCTGCTGTTGCTTTGTGATCATGTCTTGTTAATGTGGATACTATAAACTGGTGCTGAAGGACTGGGCTTGACAAGGGGAGATAACCACCACAAAGGGAGACAACTACATCCGCATAAAAATATTTTACTTTTTCTGTTTTAATGATATTAATTACCAAGTTTCAGATTGTTATCCCTAAAATCCAATTTATATGAAAGTCTCCTTGATTTAGAGTCAAGGGTCCTGATGCACAAAGCATTCGTAACATTACAACCTATCGTAACTCTATACTTAACCATGGACTTACAAATGGCCTAGTGCTACGAACCCTTTATGCATAGAATCCCAGGTGAAAAGATAATGCTTGTCAGCTTTGTGTACATGTGATAGTGGCTTGACAAGGGGAGATAACCACTACAAAGGGAGACAACTACATCTGCATAAAAAATTGTTTCTTTTTCTACGTTTTAATTATGTTAAATACCAAGTTTCAGCAAGTTATCCCTGTAATCCTATTTATATAAAGTCTCCTTGATTCAGAGTCCAGGCGAAATGACAATGCTTGTCAGCTATGTGTACATGTGATAGTGGGTTCATTTTTGCCATGAAAGTATGTCCTGTGCAATGTTATGTACAGACTTATCAATAAACTTATATGTTAACTCCCGACTGTAGTTTAGATTTAAGATGTCTTGTAAATATGTATGTAAACCATTACTGGTATACAGTTCATAACCGATTGCTTGTATCGTTGGTCACATCAAGACAGATTTTTAGGTCTGGTCTAGACTAAGTTATTTCTAACTGCAAAATTGGTGAAAGCAGCTTGTAATGACACACAATAATATACAGTACAAGCGGAAAGATTTGATGGGTTAACATTAGCGCAGACTGATTTAAATTATTTGGATTTCGACAACCCTGCCACCAAAAATCTTAAATTTCTCTGAAGTTACTGAACTAAATGTGCACAAATGATTGAAGCAATCTGTTACAATTACTGCCTGCTTTTTGAAAGCAGTCAACACGAAATTGCTTTCTTTAGTTTTGAAAGATACAATGAACCAGGTGAGCTACAGGGCCCCGTTTCACCAAGCTATAGTAGCGCTACGACTGTCTCAAGTCTGTTACATTATAGGAGGTACGACAGTCGTAGCACTATGATAGCTTTGTGAAACAGGTCCTGGTCTTGAACCTGTGCCAGCATGTTGGCGTGTCCTGACAATCTACAAGAGCAGCAGGTCTAGACAATGGAAGTCCTGCTCTCACTGAAGAAGAGAATGAAGATGTGAGGATACTGATAATCAAAAGATGTTACAATGCTATTTTGCATGTCCACATTTTAGATATTGTTGAAAGTTGTTATATTACTTGTGTTTGTAAATAGCCTTGATCGTCTGCATTGTTTGCATCCTTAATTTGCCTCTGCTTGAGTGTACATACCATCAGATGCCATGGTTACCAGTAACTTACGCCATTTAACAATCTTGCATCTCGTCCATTAAATGTATTTGATCAAGGTGGAATTTTGCATTGTTATTGCACGAGGAGTCAAGTCTATTCTAAATAAACTCACACGAATCGAACTGTTACGAAAACCGTGACACAGATCATTACAACCTGTCTGCAGTGTGCAAATTAGCCACTGGCCCGAGGCTAGTAAAAAGTCCAGCTGGGCCAGTAAATCTCCAGTCATGAGGTCATTTGATTTTTATGGTGTTTTACCTTTTTGTCAACTTTTGCTTAGTTTCACCATTCATATTTCCTGCTAGTGAATTATTTTGTGGGCACAGCTAGCCTGACTGGCTAGCAAAATTTGGAAACTATTTCGCACACTGCCTGCAATCTACACATCAACGTAAATACGTGTCCAGAAATCAGGGAAGGTCAACTGCAAAATCTCAGATGTCTACATTGTGAGCAAGGTTTTGTGCTGTTTTTAGCAATATTCCTGCAATATAAAAGCAGGGACACCAGACATGGGTGTCACACATTGTGCCCATTGTTTGGCATCAAACCCAGGCTTTCAGCTTGATGAGCAACATTTTAACCCTACCACCCGAAATGTCTACATAATATTTTGAACTGAGGGTGCATTTCGTGATCACTCGCCTGCTGACAGTTTGACAGCATCCATTTTGTCCTTTATCACCATAAGGAACACAAAATTACTGTTAAAAAAAGTTTCAAAAACTTCAAATGGCAGGGGTGGAAATAAACCTATTGGTCAACGTCCCAGTCCAGTGGGTTTTTTTTGGTTGGGCAAGCAAGTTTGTATACCATGCTGTACCAGTGTCCAGTTGACTTTCCAATGTTAATTATGTTGTTTATTAAAAAATTGAACAAGAAAATCGGCCGGTATTGTGGAAAAAGTACTAGGGCAAGTGATTTACATGTGCCAATCAGAATGTGCGTATGTAGAGAAGAACTTGGGTCAAAAATAATTTTCATTTCGGCTTGCATAATTTTTTACCCAGACACTTCAAGTAATTTATTTAATTATTGCATAGTCCTTCTGGGTTTCCTGAATTTTCATAACCATGATATATTAACATTATGGCGTAGGAAAGTATTCACTCAGACAAAAAATTTCATTGGCTAGGATGCCATGTTTGTTTTCCAAGTAAATGAGAGTTACATGCCCTTGAAAATAGTTCTTTCTCTCTGCTCTTTTGCCCTCAGACAGAGTCACGTTCAATAAAATGGCTACGCGAGGGGTAAGAGTGTTCTTTCTGGTTACGGGAAGGGACGAGTTGTTACGAATGAACTCAACCCATCAGACCACAGATATGGTCTCTCACTGGATAAGAAGGACGTGCACTGTGATTTTATTCAGGACTTTTATTGAGAAAGAAAAGTGTAAGACAGAACAGCCAGACTACTGCAGAGTGCAGTTAATTTCCTCCATCACTTTCACAGAAAATGAAGCAGTCATTAAGACATATCGCAAACTGATATCCAGTACTATTAAAAAGAACCTGAATACGCTATAAAGAACCATTAAGACTCTGCCATCCAGCTTATAAGAGGTACATGGAAAAGACTGTAGAAATGATGCTTGGGTTTCTATGGTGACAACAGTGACAATCCATTTCTGATAGAGATGATGACGACATCAAGACGCTGAATATGTAGAGACCGGTTCCACTGGCCATGTCATCCTCCTGGCGGGACCTAGTTAATCCCAAGCAGCTCCACGTCGAATATCAGGGTAGCATTGGGCGGGATAGTGGTTTTGTTAAGGAGAAGAAATTCATAATAGATATCCTATAATAATGGTTATCAATCAATGTTAACAGCTTGAAGTCAAGGAGACCCCCTCATGTCACTTACTTTCATTGTGGGCTCCGTTTCACAAAGCTATCATAGCACTACGACCTTCCTAGTCAAAGTTTCAGTATAGGAGGTACGACAGTCGTAGCGCTACAATAGCTTTGTGAAAGAGGGCCCTGAATAGCACTCGCACCTCTCCGACATCAAACTGGCAAAACACTGCCCCTTTTAAACTAGTCTCTGCAATAAACCCTAACTTCATGTGATCTGTGATCTGCACTGTACACAGAAACATATACCTCATACACATTTAACTGACTTTACTGCAAATGGTGTTTTCCTTAATTTAAAATTTAATGCTAAAAGAATGTTTCAAATATTAGAACAACTCTTAAGGAAGTATTTTCTACGATGGTATATCTGTGTATGCAGTTGATGTGTTTTGTTGTTTAAAATGCCACTTAACAATAATTCAGTTGTACAATGCCAGCCTGCACAAAATCAAGACCAGACAATCTTATGACTAACATAAGCAATTATTTACGCTGACAAAGACCCACTAGACCGCTGGGTCAGAGAGCAAGGCCACCAAATCCACACGTAACGTTTGTTTTGTCTAATGACTTGTATTCCAACGGTCTGTAAATCATCTGGACCAGACAATCCAGTGATAAACATCATTAGCATCGATCTATTAATTTGGGATATGATGACATGCCCACCTGACCAACCAATCCTGTTAGTTACCTCTTTTGACAAGCAGGGGTAGCTGGAGACTAGTGTTGGGGGTTGGAAACGAAATCCACAATCAATTATCGGAGGTATTATCGATGATAATCGAAATATATACATTCTTAATATAATCACCAATCTTAAGCGTTTTTTACCCAGTTTTTTTTCTAATTAATGTGTTTTATAACTAATACTGTCAAGCAATGAAATGGATGCAAGCAAGAAAGACACTGGATTTGTAATTAAACAATAAATCTGGTTGAAATTTTACAATGCACATAGCTTTACACTGTTATACGCATGTTTGTGAATATTCATCAAATTTAATGGTTAGTTTACTTCATTCAAGTGTTTTATACTAAAACAGCAAAAATCTGATTAATCGAAAATCTGTTTTATACAATCAATAATTATTTTTAATCCTTCTTTTGATAGATTTTCGATCATAGGAACACCACTACTGAAGACTAATTGTGGCCCAGGATAAACATGGTAGCTGGTAGCTATTCTACTACTACTAACCCAGACAGTGCCAGAGCTACAGATAACTTCTGGGTCATTGAGTTATGTACTCACTTGTGTTCATCTCAATTGGGTATCCTAATTTTCCTTTGAGTAACCAAATAAATTGTACTCACCTCACTCAAACTCAATTGGGTATTTTGCCATTTTCCATTCATTTAAAATATATAATAAAGTTTAAATGTTGGTGTTTGTTATTTGAATTTGATCTGTAATATGAGAAACGATAAGAAAAAAGTTGTCAAGTTCATATCCTGAAATAGAACCTCTCGTTATACCTGAGTTATTTTATTTATCCACGCAAGCTAAGATTTGACATTTTTTTTGTGTACGCATGTAAGATCACATTTATTGAGTATTTACCAAAATTCAAGCGTATTTCTACACAACAGACTTAATAGGAATTGAGTTTTCACATAAATATTTGCGTCATTTACACATATGCGCAGTTTATCTGTACCTGAGTGCATACACTTGGTAAATTCACACTTAAATATCGAATATTCATCAAATAATAGTTAGTTTACTTCATTCAAGTATTTAATACTAAAACAACTAAAATCTGATTAATTAAAAATGTTTCTTACACTCAATAATTATTTTTAATCCTTCTTTCAATCGATTTTAGATTATTTTTGATCATTGGGACACCACTACTGAAGACAAATCATAACCCGTGATAAGCATGGGTATAGGGATTTACAGGTTGCGAAGTCCTGCGTCCTATACACATAAAAATTGACAATGGACACAATGAAATTATTAGCGCATCCACAGGGACTCCGATAAAGTCCAAACACTTTTTGTAAAAATTCCAATCAAGTGACACTACGTTATCACCGAAATTGCTACTAGCTGGGTTATGGTATTATTTGCAATTTAATTACTGTAACAATGTGATGATCATGATACACAATACAATAATAGTATTCATAATAATATAATGATTGAAAATAAGTGCCTGGGACCACTATTTGGATGTCAAGGACCCCTGAAAATTGAGAATATGAGTCCAAGGGACCCGCAAATACAGGACTCCATGTAAATCCCTGATGGGTAGCTGGTAGCTATTCTAACCCAGAACCCTGACAGTGCATACACTTAGTAAAGGATATACTCCAGCGGCACCATCAGCTCCGTACCCATAGTCCGGTGAGATGGTGAGTTTAGCCCTTTCACCTACAGTCATCTGAAACAGGAGTGAGTATGGTTTTACGCCGCTTGTAGCAATATTCCAGCAGTATCACAGCAGGGGACACCAGAAATGGGCTTCACACCCTGTACCCATGGGGAATCAAACACGGGTCTTCGGCTCGACGAACAAATGCTTTAACCACTAAGCTACCCCACTGCGCTCTGATAAGGGCAAACTCAGCACTGTTAGAATAGACATAAAACACATATTTGGAATTATTCTTTCTTAGGAAAGTACAAATTAGTTTGAAGGCACCAAATCACCAGCACACGTCCACAATCTAACCCACTTGGCAACTGATACTTGTTGGAAAAAGAACACCAACAAAAGTTGTAATCTCAAATATTTGTGATGACTGACCACTTTCTTGAACATATTGTGTACTCTCTGTAAAGACTTTCGAATTTGACCACCAGTTAGTTCAGCAATCAGCAACTGTGTCATGCCAGAGAGTAATTAACTAAGTCCCTGCGAACTTGTGACTGATATAACCAAACATACCTTTGGCTTATTATAATTTATATTTGGCATATTATATATTCTAATTCAACTTAGTATGTAACACTAGTTCTGATTGGTCAATGCTATAAATCTCCGACCGTATAATCAGCATATACGGTCGCAATTTGAAAACCGATTCACCGAAACCTTTGAATGTATCCCTACACTATTGGGGTAACGCTGTTTCGCAGGACATTGTCATTTGCAGAAGCCATTGGTCAATTAACTCCCCTATCCAGCTAAAATGGGTGGAATTTGTGTTAAAAAAGACAAAACAGTATCATAAATTTAATTTTAAGTTCAAACAACTTACTCGCAACGGGCTGTTGACCCAACACTGTTAGATCATGAAACAAGGTTTATGACGTCATTATGGAGCGTGACATCACCTGCTATGACGTCATTTGACAACAGAACTGATAATGGCCCGTAGTTGAGGAATCAGCGGGCCGCTCATTTCTGTAACTAGAGGGCGGTTTCATCATAATACCGTCCATTTTATCTATAATACTATGATCTATTCATCATTGTCAAATTTTGTCTGTGTGCACATAATAAACGTGTGTAGTTTGAAAAGGGAATTACTTTCTCTGGCGATGGTTTAAGTTGAAGGAGTGATATGATTAACCTTTGACCTAGAGGAACTTTGACCTGGTTTAAATAATGAATTTTTCACGAAAAAACAGCGTAGAACGAGTTGAATTAGAATGGGGATAACTGTACTGGGTTTGACGAATTGGGCACGTATACCGGTGGTTATATAGCCGCAAATTTAACGTTATATTGGCTTCGCTTACGCGTCGCCGATATAATTAAGTTTGCAGCTATATAACCACCGGTATACGTCCCCAATTCGTCAAACACAGTACAGTTATCCCCTAAATATATCACGAAAATGACCACTGACAGAATACTATCAAATGAAATATGAGTGTTGAGTATTATCCAGCCTGGCTTTGATACATTCGGACTTGCATGTCACTTTTTGATGCATAACCCAAATTCAAGTATTATCACTCCTTTTTAGTTAGGATTCTAGTCATTTTGAATAACAATTTGAATTCACGATGGGATACAGTTTGATTCACTGAATATGCGAGTGAATCCAAACAGCTGTATGTCTAGCTGTGACGATATATCGTGCTCAGGGCTCCAGATAAGGGCCGTATCGGCGTATGTACGGATAAAAAATATGCACGATACAGTAGGAAATAATTTATAAAACGTAGCACATACGCACCACAGCAATGCTGTACGGTCTCGGAATCATTTACAGACGTATTTATCTGAAAGAGTGTTGTTTTATTGTTTATTGACCTGTTTACACAAGAGTAGCAATGTTGTGGTGCATATATGAAACGAAACACAGGATTACTCATACGCCATGAAATTCCATTCAGTACTCAAAATGTACTCTAAGTTTTTCCAGTACTCCTATAGTGAAAAAATAAGGAGTACGTACTCCTGATGTTGAAATATTATCTGGAGCCCTGGTACTATTGATAATCGTGATACTTCATCTGACGATAAATATATTAATACTTTTTTTTTCGTATCATGATATGTATCGTTGACCTTAAAATTGTTGATTTTCATTAGAAATTGACAGTTATGTCAAAATTTACACTGTTACTTCCTATGAAAATGTAACTTTTCAAGTTAAAATTGATATTTTTATACTTATCCTGACTCATGATCTTTTTCTTATCTCCCTTTCCCTTGCGAATGGTAGTGGAACACTTGAATCCCCTTGAAGTTCCCAGGCGGACGTAAAAATACACTCACCCACGAGTTACCTCCCTTTTCCCCGCGTAAACAGTCATGTGACCAGCCTTACTTGTCACTCTCTCCTGATTTTTCTGCCAAAGCACTTGGATCTGCTGTGCAATCCGAATTGTTGCGGGGAGGTCGGGAGGGCTTGACCTCATGAGTCAGGATAAGTATAAAAATATCAATTATATTTGAAAACTTACATATTTTTTCTTATCCTGACTTATGATCTTTTGCTTATAGAATCCGACAGATTGGTGGTGGGTCAGGCCACTTCCTGGATTCATCAGCTGTCCTTAGATACGTCCTGTATCGGAGGTAGTTGCTGGCAAACACTGTGTCCGACTTCTAAAAGCAGCCCTCCATAATTGCTGATATAGAGCAATTTCCATGCAGAGCTAGTGTTGACACCAATGCTCTGACTTCGTGTAGAAGAAGCGTTCGCGGACGCTTACGAGTTGTGTGCCTCGACTTCACCCCGTTGAGAAGTTGGTGGTAGTTCGTCAAACAGCTGGCTTTCTGTGACCGTTGCAGGAGACGATCTAGTAGTCGTGGAAGTCGATTGAGTTGCCGATCTCGTAGGTACTTCGGGTAGAAGTAACGGAGGATCATCAAAAAACGTCGACTTCATGCGGAGGTAATATCTCTTCGTTGAAGGATTTCTGATGCGTTGACTTACTAGGCCGCGTAGATTTACCCTCCAATCTGGTAACAGATGCTTTCTTCTGCGACGTAAAAGACGTCTTTTTCTTAGCTTGAGTCGGAGACAACTGCGTTGTAGCCAATCTCTTCTTGGCCCCCCGTACCAGCAGACAGCCCCTGCACCGTGCTCAACATAGCACCAGTATTATGAATTTCAGCAGTAGCAAGCAACATACGGTTTGAGGGCTGATCAAGAGCTCCAGATAAGATTTAGCTCATGTGGGTACTCTACCCACTGTATTATTTTGGGGTGGATATTATGAATGTTGAGTGGGTGTTATATTTTCCGTTACCCACTGCTTTCAAATATGTGCATATTTCAGTCATTTTACTTACCTAAGTATTATGTCATTGAGTAAGTTTACTAAGCTGGTATGTCGTGCCTTATGTCATACCTAATCAAACCAACTTAAATATAATGGAAATGATTTCATAAAAAAATCACTCATCCTATACTGACAGTACAACACTAGTCCTATACTAACAGTACAACTTGATGTCTTGATGTCTTTTTCATTAAGCAAGCGATTTTTATAAATATATTTCGTACGCATTTAGTTTTAAACTTTTTTCGTATCTAACATTTTAAATGCGTAATTAGTACGCAACAATTATTTTTCAATAAGTAATTGGAAATTTTCTATGCGTATTTTACCCAGATACGCAGCTGATCAGGGCCCCGTTCCTCAAAGCGATCGTAGAGTTAAGATGATTGTAACTGCCATACTTTAACATACGCTTACGACTGTCGTAGCCCTACGATCACTTTGAGGAACGGGGCCCTGGGCCTCTGCTGATCTGTTTTATCAGCCGTGACTTGACATGACTTCCTCACCCGATCCATGGCACGTCTATAGATATAAGACAAATATTGATTAAATTGTAGATTTGATAAATCAACACAATAAGAACAGCTCAAGCTGGAAGAACATGGTTTTATGCACGAAAGGCATTGGAGGTGAGGATCAGCCATGGATAACCTGTGCCTGCAAACACTGCAAGATTTCATGAAATGTAAACAAAGTTACATAACGATGAAATTATGACACAAATACAAATAATTTTTACAATTTTTTTATATATAATCAGGGATACTCTACAACAGGGATAGGTCACTCGCTTGCTTTCTTTACCATTTGTACTAATTAACGTGTGCCTCGTCATGCTCCAACGCACACAGTGACTTGGTTCGGTCCCAGCGCAACTTCGGCTGCGTTTAACAGTACTTCAGCCAGTGTATTGTATCAGTCGGAATTTTACAATGAATGAATGAATGAATGAATTAAGAGCAAGAAATTTATGTGAATGAATGAAAGAAATTAAGAAAAAGAACAAAAGAAAAAGAACATATGTGAATGAATGAAAGAATAAATGATACACCACGGCCATCCCTCCCCAAACATGTTAAAGAACGCAAAACTATCGGTAGAACACAAATGTTAACATCAGCTGTCCTTTTTCAAAAAAAATTACTTTGAGACATGTTTTTACATTAGTAACTAATTCAGATATCTTATTGCATGTGTGGAATGACATGGGCATTGACAGAATGTTAACTGACACTGTCACAGACCCCTCAAGAACAGAAAGTTTAGAACTATCACAAAGCGTTGTAAACACCTTTCCAGTTTTGTCAAATACTAAGATCAACAAGAAAGAAAGAAGTTTTAGAACTATAACACTCAAGCATCACAAGCACCAATGGCGATATGTCATATTTTCACACACCTCAAATACACACTAACAATGTTTTTTAAATTATAAAACTATCACTATTACTTGCAAAAACCTTTCACCTGATGGTATATACCCCTCATAAAAATTAAAGGTGTATGTGAAAGATGTTTTTGAACACTAACTAGAAACACTCAAACAACGCCTGTAGTATTTCAATGGCAGATCGGCGATATGTCATATTTTCACACACCTCAAATACACACTAACAATGTTTTTAAATTATAAAACTATCACTATTACTTGCAAAACCTTTCACCTGATGGTATATTCCCCTCATAAAATTGAAGGTATATGTGAAGATGTTTTGAACACTAACTAGAAACACTCAAACAACGCCCTGTAGTATTTCAATGGCAGATCGGCGATATGTCATATTTTCACACACCTCAAATACACACTAACAATGTTTTTTAAATTATAAAACTATCACTATTACTTGCAAAAACCTTTCACCTGATGGTATATTCCCCTCATAAAAATTGAAGGTATATGTGAAAGATGTTTTTGAACACTAACTAGAAACACTCAAACAACGCCCTGTAGTATTTCAATGGCAGATCGGCGATATGTCATATTTTTCACACACCTCAAATACACACTAACAATGTTTTTTAAATTATAAAACTATCACTATTACTTGCAAACACCTTTCACCTGATGGTATATTCCCCTCATAAAAATTGAAGGTATATGTGAAAGATGTTTTTGAACACTAACTAGAAACACTCAAACAACGCCCTGTAGTATTTCAATGGCAGATCGTCGATATGTCATATTTTTCACACACCTCAAATACACACTAACAATTTTTTTTAAATGATAAAACTATTACTATTACTTGCAAACACCTTTCAACTAAAGGTATATTTCCCTTCTAAAAATTAAACGAATATGTGAAAGAAGTTTTTAGCGATATAATTTAGTCTTTCTTCGCTGTGTACTGAGAATTGAAGCCAGTGAGCTACAACATGCCCACTTGAAACTTTACTACAAAGCTACTGTACTTATACTGACACTAATAACAATTATTTGACTTGAAATGAAGTGACAGAATAGGTAACTTATCTTCTACATGTAGGTTTTCAGTTGTCACAACACTCAGCGTATGTAATCAGCTGTTGAAAATATACCGGGCTAAATCTTAAAAACTACGCTGCCGCCATATTGGCTACACTGGTCACGTGACGAGCCGAGGCATAGCTTAGGAGCTTTCCGAGGAGTGACCACTCCCCCTTATAGAGTCTCCCTGATATAATATATAGTAGTTATTGCCAAATCCATACACAGCGTAATTTTGAAGAATAGGACCTAAATAAAAAGGATATAATGCCGTATACGGGACTCCAGTGCTCGCCCAACTATCCACTTGGGCGAAAAAGGAGAGAGTGCCAAGTAAGGCTGGTCACATGACTGTTTACGTGGGAAAAGGGAGGTAACTCGTGGGTGAGTGTATTTTTACGTCCGCCTCGGAAACTTCAAGGGATTCAAGTGTTCCACTACTATTCGAAAAGAAAAGGGACATAAGCAAAAGATCATGAGTCAGGATAAGACAAAATCATACTTTTTTAAAGAAAATAACTAAAGATAGCATGAAGTGATCTGCATTGAATTGAATCATTCCAAGATACTGCGATATGTATCGTATCGTGAAATTTCTGTATCGTCAAACCTCAGCTGTAGAAACACATCACATTAGATCAAGTGAGTGAGTATAGTTTTATGCCGCACTCAGCAATATTCCAGCTACATGGTGGCGGTCTGTAAATAAATCGAGTCTGGACCAGACAATCCAGTTATCAACAGCATGAGCATAGATCTGCACAATTGGGAACCGATCACGTGTCAACCAAGTCAGCGAGCCTGACCACCCCATCCCGGTAGACGCCTCTTACGACAAGCATGGGTTACTGATAGAGGTGTGACGATAGACATTTCACGATACGATACGTATCGCGATACCTTGGAATGATACGATTCGATTAGATGCATATCACAATATGCTTTTAGTTATTTTCTTTAAAAATCATATTTTAATAGCAAGAAATTTTGACATAACCGTCAATATCTAATGAAAATTAACAATTTTAAGGTTAACGATACAATTATCACGATATGAAAAAACGTATCGATTTATTTATCGTCAGATAAAGTATCACGATTATCGATACTACGATTTATCGTCACAGCTCTAGTTACTAGGGGTGGGTATTGCAGAGAATTTTCATATTGCGATATATTGCAATGTGAAAGCATATATTGCCATATGTATTGCAATATATTGCAAGATGGGTTCTTTTAAACAAAAAACTACTCATAATCAATATAATCGAGTTAATGCTTGATTCATAATGATTGCGGGGGATAAAAATCTGCAAATAGCAAAAGGCACCACTTTGGCATCTGCCTCACATATCTGCCAAGTTTTGCTGAAAGATATTAAGAAGTTTTCCAGTTGTGCTCCGGAAATGAAACCCATCCCTTCCTTTTTGAGACTAAGTCCGAATCATTTCCATGGAAACCGAGAAAATAATAAATCACAATCATCTGCAAATAGCAAAAGGCACCACTTTGGGATCTGCCTCACATATCTGCCAAGTTTTGCTGAAAGACATTGAGAAGTTTTCGAGTTGTGCTCCGGAAACGAAGCCCACCCCTCACTTTTGGGACTAAGTCCGAATCGTTTCCATGGAAACCGGGGAAAATAAAAATGCCAAAAATCTGCAAATAGCAAAAGGCACCACTTAAGGTTCTGTTTCATATATCTACCAAGTTTTGTTGAAAAATATTGAACGGTTCTTGAGTTATGCTCCGGAAACGAAGCCCACCCCTCACTTTTGGGACTAAGTCCGAATCGTTTCCATGGAAACCAAGAAAAATAAAAATGCCAAAAATCTGCAAATAGCAAAAGGCACCACTTTAGGATCTGTTTGATATATCTACCAAGTTTTGTTAAAAAATACTGAACGGTTCTTGAGTTATGCTCCGGAAACGAAGCCAACCCTTCTTTAAGACTAATAAGACAATAATGTGGCAATTTTGTACAATGATAAAATTTGCAATTCATCGGTCCGTTTCTGACTCAAACGGACTGTACTTGTTCTCGATGTTTCATTTAAAGTGCATACCCCCTTGTAATACAAACCAATAATAGCGATTTGAAACTATGATCGTTTGTTAAACAACTTTTATCCTAAGTTGAATAAAATTCTGAGATTTGAATGCTCAATTGGCATGGTAAAATTATGAGGATTCACAATCTTAATTTCACTTTATTCGATTTACCTTTTTGTTTAGAGTGAAATTCATCGGTACATTTTCACTGCAAACAGACTATAGTTAACGCCCCTGTCACAGGAACATGACACCTTGCAAGCTGCAAATGTGGCTTTGGGCGAATGCAAAGGATTGTTACACTACTGAGTATTCAAATGAATTTTTTCTATGTATCTGAAAGCACGCAACCTCAAAGTTATTAGGTCATTGGCTTATCGTGAGCACTGCTCTTTGATTCCACATACCTTTACAACAGCCTCATCCCAGCCTGAAACAAACAAATATCATGTTACGAGTTTGTCATTGTATAAAGGCTCACGATACAACATATCGATTTACACAGGGTTTTTTCTAGTCTCTCGTACAGACCCTGAAGCAAATATATCCAAGAAAGCCCACGCAAGTCTAGAAAATGTGGCAAGTCTAGATTCTGAAAATGAAGAAAGTCTCAGGGCTCCTTTTCATTATATATTTTTTTTTTACTATGAACTTTTTTTTCAGTAAAATATGTTCATTTCAGAGACTAGTTGTTAGTCTAGGTTTTTTCCCCACAGTCCTGTATTGGAAGGTACAGTCAATTCTCAGGGGTTCTGGACCACAAAATAGGGGTCCCATACACTTAAACATTATCATTAATACTATTTTGTAATATTGTTGTAATTCAGTTACTGTTATTATATTGTGTATCATGATCAGCACATAGTTACAGTAATTAAATTGCAAATGCTACCATGACCTGGCTAGTAGCAAACTCAGTGATAACTTGTTACTTGAATGAAAGTTTACAAAAAGTATTTGGGCTTTTTCTGCATCCCTGTGGACGAGCTATTAAATTTTGATGAGTCTATTGTCAATTTTTATGCGTATAGGACGCATGAAATTCACGTCCCATAAATCCCTGAATTTACAACTCCTACATCACAATACATTAGAGCTGTGACTATATATCGTAGTATCGATAATCATGATACTTTATCTGACGATAAATATATCGATACATTTATTCGTATCGTTATATGTATCGTTGACCTTAAAATTCTTAATTTTTATTAGATATTGACGGTTATGTCAAAATTTCCTGCTATTAAAATATAATTTTTAAAAGAAAATAACTAAAGAAAGCATATTGTGATATGTATTGAATCGAATCATATCGTCACACCTCTACAATGCATACAATACAATCCAAGTCAAATTTTCAAGTCAATACAAATTCAAACATTTTCTGATGAGCTAAGATTAGCATAATCTGCATAGTGTCCCCATATTAATGTTTCTCCCCAATTTCCTATTTTTCGCTGATTGAAAGTTTAAAATAAATGGTTTAGGATTCTGATTCACCTGGAAAATGAGAGTGAGTGAGTTTAGTTTTACGCCGCACTCAGCACTATTCCAGCTATATGGCAGCGGTCTGTAAATAATCGAGTCTGGACCAGACAATCCAGTGATCAACAGCATGAGCATCGATCTGCTCAATTGGGAACCGATGACATGTGTCAACCAAGTCAGTGAGCCTAACCACCCGATCCCGTTAGTCGCCTCTTACGACAAGCATAGTTACCTTTTATGACAAGAATGGAAAATGAGAGCCATATCTTAAAGTATCAGGATACAAATCGTACCGCACCCATTTTGCTGCCTGACCGTCTTATAACACCTCTTACGATAATATAGACTTGTTAAAAGTCATAGTATGATGGCTATTTTGTACAACAGTACACTGGCAGCTGAAAAACTCCTGATCTCATTTGTTGGTACAAACAGATCATGACATGAGCTAAGTACATTTATCGACAGGGGTGGAAATTACCTCATTGCCCGATGTCCGAGTCCAGTGTTGTTTTCTGTCGGGCAAGCAAATTTGTATATCACACTGTACCGGTGTCCAGTTGACTTTCCGATGTTAATAATGTTGTTTATTTTAAAAAATCAACAAGAAAACAGCCGGTATAGTGGGAAAATTATCAGGGCAAGTGATTTTACATGTGCCACTGTTCCGGAGTACACTAGCAATTTTAAAGTTGTTTCCACCCCTGATCGTGTGTGTGAAAAGATCTGCATGTAAAATCTGTGCTGCTCACTACTAAACACTTTAGGTCCCAATCTATCACAATAGGGATACTTGTATTGAAAAATATTCCAACAGAATTTTTACCCAATGTTTAGAACTACTTACCTTTTATAACTTGACCTACACCGATCTTGCATTGAAAAGGTTTGCCTCGGTCGCGTGAAGAGTCGAACTTCTTGCCATCCGTTAAAGTTCCTGACAGAAAACATCAATCAATGTCACTTAAAAGTTACTCCAACATATAACATATCTGATAACAAATTTCACACAACCACATCACCATGTGTGTAATGAAGGAAGGTGACTCACACTACCAGGTCACCATGTGTGTAATGAAGGAAGGTGTCTCACAGCACCAGGTCACCATGTGTATAATGAAGGAAGGTGTCTCACACTACCAGGTCACCATGTGTATAATGAAGGAAGGTGTCTCACAGCACCAGGTCACCATGTGTGTATTGAAGGAAGGTGTCAGACAGCACCAGGTCACCATGTGTGTATTGAAGGAAGGTGTGTCACACCACCAGGTCACCATGTGTGTATTGAAGGAAGGTGTCTCACAGCACCAGGTCACCATGTTTGTATTGAAGGAAGGTGTCTGACAGCACCAGGTCACCATGTGTAGGTCACCATGGTCACCATGTGTGAAAGGAAGGTGTGTCACACCACCAGGTCACCATGTGTGTATTGAAGGAAGGTGTGTCACACCACCAGGTCACCATGTGTGTATTGAAGGAAGGTGTCTGACAGCACCAGGTCACCATGTGTGTATTGAAGGAAGGTGTGTCACCCACCAGGTCACCATGTGTGTATTGAAGGAAGGTGTGTCACCCACCAGGTCACCATGTGTGTATTGAAGGAAGGTGTGTCACCCACCAGGTCACCATGTGTGTATTGAAGGAAGGTGTCTCACAGCACCAGGTCACCATGTGTGTATTGAAGGAAGGTGTGTCACCATGTGTGTATTGAAGGAAGGTGTCTGACAGCACCAGGTCACCATGTGTGTATTGAAGGAAGGTGTGTCACACCACCAGGTCACCATGTGTGTATTGAAGGAAGGTGTGTCACACCACCAGGTCACCATGTGTATAATGAAGGAAGGTGTCTCACAGCACCAGGTCACCATGTGTGTATTGAAGGAAGGTGTGTCACAGCACCAGGTCACCATGTGTGTATTGAAGGAAGGTGTCTCACAGCACCAGGTCACCATGTGTGTATTGAAGGAAGGTGTGTCATTGGTCACCATGTGTATAATGAAGGAAGGTGTCACACCACACCAGGTCACCATGTGTATATTGAAGGAAGGTGTGTCACACTACCAGGTCACCATGTGTGTATTGAAGGAAGGTGTCTCACAGCACCAGGTCAATGGATTGAAGGAAGGTGTCACAGCACCAGGTCACCATGTGTGTATTGAAGGAAGGTGTCTGACAGCACCAGGTCACCATGTGTGTATTGAAGGAAGGTGTCTGACAGCACCAGGTCACCATGTGTGTATTGAAGGAAGGTGTGTCACACCACCAGGTCACCATGTGTGTATTGAAGGAAGGTGTCACACAACCAGGTCACCATGTGTGTATTGAAGGAAGGCGTGTCACACCACCAGGTCACCATGTGTGTATTGAAGGAAGGCGTGTCACACCACCAGGTCACCATGTGTGTATTGAAGGAAGGTGTGTCACACCACCAGGTCACCATGTGTGTATTGAAGGAAGGTGTGTCACAGCACCAGGTCACCATGTGTGTATTGAAGGAAGGTGTCTCACACGACCAGGTCACCATGTGTATCCTGGTGTCAGGGTTTTTCGATGATGCAAGACAAGACATTCTTTATCTGTAATATCATTTAAACCTTTTATTTTACTAGCCTTGAGTGATAAAGGATATATTCATCTATTTCACAAAAAAATATCAAGTGTTTCCAAAAAAAATAACATTGATGACATCGTATCATCGAAAATGTTGCCGCCCGCCCCATCCGGGGATTTTGTATGGGTTTTCGACGATGAGCCATACTTTTCGCTCTGCACTGCAAGTGAGTGCTGTGATCACATGGCTTCCTATTTATATATTGCCTGTCACAAGCAGATGACCGATATTACTGAATTTTGGTTTGCTATATTTTGTTATATAATCAATAGATTTTGCATCGTAAGTGGTATTAATGATCACGGGTAAATACTATTGATGTTTGTTTGCTTTTTAAATAACTTAACTTCCAGATTTCAATTGTTAATAAAACTTATCACGATAGTGACTGGGCATCCGCCCTACCTATGAAACTGCTTGTGCATTACGATCGTGCAGGTACTCCCCCAATATAGCGTGAGCAACACAATCGTCAAAATCACCAGAACGTCGAATTCAGCATGTTTTGAGATAAAATGAAAGGTGGTGTTTCACACCACCAGGCAAAAAGTATTATGACTTTTAAGACCATATCCAAGACAATGGTCATTGGGTTCTTGGGACCTAACTGAATACTAGGAAATTCAACTCAACTCACCTGTGTAATGCATGCTAACCTTATCCCCCTTTTTAGGAAAGTTGGTACCTGGAAAGAAAAAGCTATGTTTTACTTCAAGTTGAGATCAGGAACTTGATTTTATATTTACACTGGTACTTCTAAGCATATTACGGCCAACGATTATATTAAACTCGTCAAACCGTGTTAATTATGTCTGTAGTTTGCTCGTAACACATACTCTGTATATTTACTGCATGCTCATTGGCGAATTATTCCCATTGTCAATCCAGGCTTGAGAAATTACACACACTGAGTACTTCCATTCTATGCTCTATGTGTGTGATCTCTGAGGTTCTAGTTACAATTTACTTGACATGCATAAAAACGAGAAATATTGCAGGAATAAAGGTCGATCTATTTCTAGTCAAGGCGGGAACAGGATATAAAGAAATCTCAATTCCCACATGGTCATGGCTTGGGCACGTTCGTTTTTCGCGAACTATGTAATTACTGTTGAATGTCTGGCTCCAAAATATAGTCTGATCATATCTCTTTATGTTTATAATTATCCTAATCAACCATACCATCGCCAGGTTGTATAACTTCTATCTCTACACCCATTGTTAGCTTGGAGGCCGGCGAATTTGTTCAATGGAGTCTGAAAGGAAGAAATCTGAGTTATGTCCCCTGGCATTATAAATCACACGATCCTCCAGGAAGTTGTCTACGTGAAGTATTCAAGTCAAACACATTTTGAAATGTGGAATCAGCGCCCCCTGTCGTTAGAATGTGTACACTACGAAAAGACAAGTTCTCCCCACCAGTACTGATATAATTAACAGTTGAGCAAGTTCTTTTATTCATATTACCATATTAGGCAATATATAATATATTATTTTGATTGATCGCCTGATCCCTTTCCTAAAGAACTGTCGGAAATAGAAAAGAACTGTTTTAGGCTGTTACGCAACCGCAAATAGCATGTCGAAATAACCCACTTCGGCCTAACTGGACAAAACTAAGAAAAAATACGAATAGCTGCTGAAAACAATAGATCAGACCATAGATGGCAATTAGGTCACTCAGCCAGGTATGACGACAGACCGTCGACTCACCTGGCATGAAATGCATGTGTTGCATACTGGCACAAGGCTGGCTGAGTATGGTTTTACGCCGCTTTTAGCAATATTCCAGCAATATCACGGGGGGTCAGGCACAAGGGGTCATCTCAAAGATATTTTGTACTTTTTCATGTGTGTTGAATATGTCTCGGCTATAGATTAACATCTTACGTGTCTTTCTTTCATAAAGTTTATGTTGAGATATGTAAAAGAGTATGATACAGCTGATAACCATAGAAAAGCATCGTATTAAATATCTCAAAATATATACAAAAGTTTCTTTGTAATTTTTTTTCATCCCAGCGGGTAAGTGTTCCGCCCGTAACCCCCACTTGAAATGTATTCTATTTATTAGGATTATTTCGAGGGTTTAGGGTAAGGTTTGGGGTTAGATTTTAGGGTTAGGTATAGGCTGTTAGGCGGATATTCTCAGGCATATAATAATTAAAAATAAATACGGTGGTTACGGGCGGAAATCTTTCTAAAAATATCGTATCAGACAGACACGAATGCATTAATCTGTTACTTACATCGTGAAAATCCGGGTTAGATTGGTCTTCAGTAACCCATGCTTGTCGTAAGAGTCGACTAACGGGATTGGGTGGTCAGGATCGCTGACTTGATTGACACATGTCATCCTATCCCATAGATCGATGCCCATGCCGCTGATCACTGGATTGTCTGGTCCAGACTTGATTATTTTGAGACCGCCGCCATACAGCTGGAATATTGCTGAGTGCGGCGTTATAAACAAACAAAACATCGAATCCATAATATTTTGTCTATTCTCAACAGAATCTCAGTGGCACATTTACTCATAACGGAACGGTTATTTTGTGAATTCTCCCGGTCGCATGATTACTTACAACTCAAGCATGACGTGTCTCCCCCCCACCCACATATTTCCATCATACCTAGGGATAATCAAGTCAAAGTATAACGGCGCTATGGTTAGTGTAGTCTAAATAATACAAACGGCTGTAGAGCGTTCATTACACGTGCATGTGTGAGAAAGCCTGAGTGAGCTTAGTTTTACGCCGCTTTTAGCAATATTCCAGCAATATCACGGCGGGGAACACCAGAAATGGGCTTCACACATTGTACCCATGTGGGGAATCGAACCGGCGTGACGAGCGAACGCTTTAACTGACTGACTGACTGACTGAGTTTGGTTTTACGCCGCTGTTAGCAATATTCCAGCAACATCACGGCGGGGGACACCAGAAATGGACTTCACACATTGTACCCATGTGGGGATTCGAGCCCGGGTCTTCGGCGTGACGAGCCAACGCTTTGACCACTAGGCTACCCCCACCGCCCCGCGAACGCTTTAACCACCATACGATCTATTTCAGTTATCTTCTTCTCTACTGGGTGTATGCTCATGTTTGAAACGACTGTACCGACCATTGCAAGAAAAAATACGACTTGGGTGTACAATCATTGGACCCCGATCACTTCACTATCACATTTAGACAGATTACATGAATATTATGCATTCAGTTGAGTAAAGACTTCACATATGTGGAAGGTGTATCATTAACAATATCTGCACACAGAAATACTGTAACATCAAACCATTAGCTATTAAACTTAGTATTTGACTACGTGAAAAGGTATGTTCTGCCGATAACCGCTGATTGCTTTCTTCATGTTGAACCTAGCAACTGAAAACCTTATATAAGTAACCATCAGGACCTTTACATTCGTGAAATGTTAACATTAAATGATATTGCTCGTCTTTCGCAAATGATGACTAGATTTTTAACACCGAAAGTACATTCACCGCCAAAACAAGCACGCGATCACTGCAACGCAGGCGGGCAGTTAGTCTCTCGTACAGACCCTGAAGCAAATATATCCAAGAAAGCCCACGCAAGTCTAGAAAATGTGGCAAGTCTAGATTTCCTCAGCTTCTGAAAATGAAGAAAGTCTCAGGGCTCCTTTTCATTATATTATATTTTTCTTTACTATGAACATTTTTCAATAAAATATGTTCATTTCAGAGACTAGTTGTTAGTCTAGCGGGCAGTCACCCTATCCCTATCACTGAACTCTGCAGGACAGTGGTTCCAGGGGGGTGAGGGGCGGTGGGATAGCCTAGTGGTTAAAGCGTTGGCTCGTCACGCCGAAGACCCGGGTTCGAATCCCCACATGGGTACAATGAGTGAAGCCCATTTCTGGTGTCCCCCGCCGTGATATTGCTGGAATATTGCTAAAAGCGGCGTAAAACCAAACTCAGTCAGTCAGTCAGTCCAGGGGGGGTGAAAACCTCTCGTGGTGACCACGATGGAAAAACATGAGTTTATCTGACCAGCATGATCCTTTGACTCATAACAAACGACATACTGAGTGGAATCCATGTTGAATCTACGCCATTCTTCGTGTAAAGCAGCTTCCAATTGGGTCAGGCTCTGTACTGGATCCGTATGTTGCACACGACGACCAATCATATCCAATATTTGCTCAGAAGGGTTCAGATCGGGACTGATTCAACCGTGAGATTTGTCAGGGGGTGCTTAACTAAGTTCTTTGTGTACAGTGGCGGATCCAGGGGGTGGGGTGGCGATGGTCAGGGGTTCGAACCCCTTTTGAAAATGACTTAAGACCACATTAAAAAAAAAAAATTGCTTTGGCGGACCCCCTCCCCCCCCTTTCAAAATTCCTGGACCCGCCCATGGTTTATACATCAATCCTTTCAAATTTAGTGTCCATTACTCCACATTTAACATGTTTAGTACACAGAATATTTCTAATAATATAAACAAGAAACTATCAATATAGACACCATATGTATACGTTAGCACCCTCCTCAAGGGTGATATGGATTTCAACGCTCGAGCCGTAAGGCGAGAGCGTTGAATCCATATCACCCGCAGAGGGCGGGTGCTAACCTGCTTATACCACGTGGGCGCCGAATGGACTCGTACAATTGCTTGTTGCTCGTGCGTTTCCTGCACCGCCAAGGTTGTTATCCACATATCAAACTCTGCACGTGCAGACAGAAGGTTGATACGCAGAAAATCAACCTGTCGGAACAATGGACATAACACACCCTAGTGGTATAACACACAATATGAACCTACCTCAAGTCATCATAAGGAATTCTTAGCGCTTTATATTTGTGTCCTTCCTTCACAGATAAGAGAGGGCAAGTGAGTATGAAATCTTTAGGTTGAAATTAAGCCGTGGCCAGCTTGGCCTATCAGTGCAACAATGGAAATGACCGGGGACGATGGAGCAAGGAGTGTTGTAAGCATGCAGTGTGACAATTAGTGGAGGTTAAACTGAGTGAGTGAGTATGGTTGTAAGCCACTTTTAGCAATATTCCCCGGCAATATCACGTCGAGGAACACCAGAAATGGCTTCACACATTGTACCCATGTGGGGAATCGAAGCCAAGTCTTCAGCGTGACGAGCCAACGCTTTAACCACTAGGCTACCCCACCGCCCCAGGATAAACTGCAAGTAAAACTTACTGTGCAGAGCTATGGAATACATGTCATGCATGTTTTAGGCATGAAATATTAACGTATGAACCGTAATTAATATTCTGCCATAACAGCAGTAATATTGGTGTTCTTGTCGTTATAGATACAGATGTACAAGTAATTAAATGGCAACGAGGTCATACACTTTACTACTAATATTAACTCATTTTAATCTACGTAATTTAATTGAAAAGGGGCGGTGGGGTAGCCTAGTGATCAGGCGTTTGCTTGTCACGCTGAAGACCCGGGGTTCGATTCCCCACATGGGTACAATGTGTGAAGCCCATTTCTGCTGTCTCCCGCTGTGATATTGCTGGAATATTATAGACTCACGCACTCACTCACTCCAAGAGCTGATCTTGGCAAGCACGTGAATTTCATATGCCCAGCAGACAAAAACAGACAATAACAAAACATTCCCCTGCTTTAAAAACAAAGTTGTCTCTGAGGAACTAGGCGTATCAAACAACTCAGCGAAGAGTGAGTTTAGTTTCGCCGCACACAGCAATATTCCAGATATATATGGTTGCAGTCTGTAAATAATCGAGTCTGGACCGGGCAATCCAGTGATCAACAGCATGAGCAATTGGCAACCGATGGCATATGTCAACCAAGCCAGTGAGCCTGACCACCCAATCCCGTTAGTCGTCTCTAACGACAAGCATGGGTTGCTGAAGATCAATTCTAGCCCGGACCTTCACGGGTCCAGCGAAGAGTGAATAAAGTTTTATATATTCCAGCAAAATCACGGTGGGTTTAACACATTGTACACATGTGGGGAATCGAACCGGTGTAACGAGTAAACCCCTTAACCACTAGACTATCCCACGGGTAGAAGCTGAAGCCTAGCTCTTTCTAATGTATACTGAATTCCAAAAGAAACGCATATATATAAAATGTTTGAAATTATACACATGGAAATTAATTAAGCAACACCTAATTGACAGACCTCTCATTCTGTGAATTAAGAAAACAGGGATTGTTTTGGATGATGTTTAAACATATAGCTGCATGTGTGTGGATATATTCAATGCACGTGCAACGGTGAGCAATGCACGTGAAATGTCATACCCCTAACATTGTTGAAATTAAGTTTTTACTGATAACAATTCTCAGTCTCTCCTTT